ATTTTGAATTTCGCACTCAGATAAGAATCTGGAGCAGGACATGGCCGAAATTGATCTCCAATCACCTGAACCCAAAGACGGCCTCCTAGCCGTTTTCCTATGAGACCTTCGACTGTACCTTTGCACCGCTAGACTTATACGAAATTCTTGCCACACTAATTTGTTGATAGTAACAAGATAACGAAATGACAACATCTAGCCTTGAACTTGGGAAGCTACTGATACCGGAAATGGATGTCATCGAGGGGGGATTTTAATAATGCAACCACTTTTTTATCTCCGTCCGTTGCGTAATCGCCGCCGTTTCTGTAGAAACAATGTATTCTTGTTTGTCCATTTCAATACATAACAGAACACATAAATAGCATATCGGTGTTTACTATTTTGTTCTTGACATATAAATAGTGTGAACTATTGAACTTCTTGGTCCGATGAAACAAAATTCATCGGGTATAGCGAGATGGATTAGATGGAAGGGTTTATTATATTACACGTAACTTTCCGATATGGACAAGGTTGAAGGTCAAATGTAAACGCATTCACATACAAACAGAAACGGAATGGAAAGGAGGACAGTCAAGGGTAATGCGGAAACTTACCCACCTACAGCGAAGGCTCGACTTAACTGTCAACAGCTAATCGACACACCTTCCACAGTGGATAAAGTTCATTGCAATTACTATGAGGAATCAAAGACTGCTCAAAAACTAAAATATTGATTTGTAACACTCTGGCGCATAATTCAATTTCAAGGGCGCATATTTGGCGCCAAATTGTCATGGGTTTTTACAAGGTTAGAATGTGGCGTTAAACTTAACTGCACTTAACCATAGCTCAAAAACGGCGCATAATTATTTCTTTGTCTCAGAAGTTAAATTCCTACCCCAAGATGGCGCATATCTAAACTAGGAGCATAGTATCTACTACCACCAACCTTGACACCTTCCGATATAGAACGTCCGAAACAAATTAAAGTGTCCCGATCAGTGAAGCAAAATCCGTGTTTCAAATGTCAACAACCGGGTCATACAGAGGATAACTGCCCGACACGGAATCGACTGATAACAAGCATACCCAGGAAGGAACGTTCTTCGCTTCCAGCAGACCGTGTGATGAATATCAGCAACTCCCAGGTGGGAAACACCGTTGGAAAGTTCCAGCGAGAAGCAACCGTGTTCGATCTACTTTTCGACCCGAAAGCGATTATCGAGATCAGTATACAGCTTTGGTAAATTGTCCACTGTTGGCAATCGTCGAAAACTACCATAGAGATTGATGACCTACGAGTCCAGGACGTAGAGGTATTTGCAGTACCCAATGAGGCGCAGCCCATGGAGATGCCCATTTTTGGCGAAGTGGCCGATAAAAACAATAAACAAAATTGTCAAAGAGTGAAATGAGTTCGGACTACGCGAGCCTCATGCTGCTGATTTGGGTTTCCACGACGACGTCTCCAAATGAAATTCCAAAAATGGAGTCTGGAGCCAAAATCTTATTTTTTTTTTACTTTTAAGTGGTTTCAGCGGTCTAGGACACTTCATTGCCGCCAGCTCATAGTCATATGGTATCAGCACCTATAATAATGATAGGTCACCCTGTATGTGTGAATTTCAATTTTCTTTAAACGTAAATTTGTTAAAAGTTATCTCATTTAAATCCGGTCGTTGCGATAAGAAATTTGTTATCGCTGTGTAAGCTAATTAGTGTGACGATCAGCAGGCTGCACCGATAAGAAAACACGGGTGTTTAATTTCGGAGAAGCGGAAACTGAGAGAGGAAAGGGTGTTTTAAATAGCAGAGAAAGACGTGAATCGTTGTTTTTTGTTGGAGCACGTCCAGCTCCTTATTGTTTTGGTAATTGGCAGTTGTTTATTACGCCGTTTAAAGCGAATGTTTAGGTCGAACGAAGGAAATTAAGTTTACGAAGGAGTTGGTCGGAGTGTTTATCGAGCGGTTTTCGCTTGTGTGGTAATCAGTAAGGGTTTTTTTCAAAGAGCCAATTTTGCGGTGTGTAAGTGCAACGGACTCGTATCGTCTAAATCGAAATTTAAGCGCAATCGAAGTTCGAAAGTATCATTTTATCCGAAAGGACTGACGAGAAAATCGCTGGGAAAGCCTGGTCTTCGTAAATGAATGCGGCTCTGGTTTGGGAATTCCCTCGAGATTACAAAAATTACGCAATCCGCCGGCAAGCAAAAAAAATGCTATTGAAAAGTGCGCACAAATCTTGCGACTGATTACGTTATGCAGTTCATTTTTAATCTGGTCTTCTATAGTTTTCAAGGTAACCGCACTTTAAAACTTCCGGTATTTGTATTTTACAACTGATTTCCTTGCACTGAAAGTCACCAAAAACTTTGATGGCGCTCGACTCAGCCCAAAAATCAATGCAGAAATATTCACGTAAATTTTTTCATCATTGAAAATCACCCCCGGTAATTTATAGGATGATTGATGCAAAATCTGTTCCGCGGTTTAGCTAAGGCTGAATTCTCGTATATCGATTCAAGATAGATTTTGCATTCACGAAACTTGCATGGAATTGTTTAAATTGCAACCTATAACGTTTGCATCATAATTAAAGCATTTGACAATATTTATTGATTTGAAGGTAAAATTCAGGTAACGTATCGTTTTTGATCTTGGTGGGATATTTAAAATTTGCGCTTTATCTGACCACAACGTTCGTGTCATAAATATATCCAAATCATTTATTTACCACATATCACATAACAAGTATTTATACAGGGTGTCAATTTTAAAACTTGCAGTCGGCCATATGTTCCAAACTAAACAAGATATTGAAAATCGCGAAAAACCGTTTCGGGGGTATCGGGGGAACCAGAATGACGTTATGAGTGACAACCCCCCCTTTAACTCCCCAGCCCCCCCCCCTCTTCAAAAATCCTAAATGGCAACCCCATACTTGTGACACATCGTTGGAAAGCTACTGAAAAGTGCTTTCCAGTGGTACCAATAAAGTCAATATTCATTAAGACAATTTAACAAAAATTTAATAATTAACAAAAAAAAAAATTAAGCCTTGCCTATGTTCAAGATTTGGTCGCTAAATTCGAAGAAACGGGATCTGTTATAAATAAAAAAGAAGGCAACCAAGATTGCTTAATGAAGCAGCTCAGGTTGAAGTTCTTGGCAAGTTTGCCATAAATCCCTCAATGTCAACATTTAGTTCTTTTTTGTTAATTATTAAACTTTTGTTAAATTGTCTTAACGAATTTTGACTTTATTGGTACCACTGGAAAGCATTTTTCAGTAGTTTTCCAAAGATGTGTCACAAGTATGGGGTGCCATTTAGGATTTTTGAACAGGGGGGGCTGGGGGGTTAAGGGGGTGTGGGGGTTGTCACTCATAACGTCATTCTGGTTCCCCCTCGATACCCCCGAAACGGTTTTGCGCGATTTTCAATATCTTCTTTAGTTTGGAAAATATGGCAAAAGATAAGTTTTATACAACGAGTTTGTAACCTATGGAGAAACTACAGGTCAACGAGTCAATAAGAAAAATCAACATCATCGGCGTAACCAACGTGGAGGTAACATTTTCAATCCTATATATACATTGTGAGACATCACAGGCGAATTTGCCTTCTACGACACGTAGTGCCCTCTGCGGTATAGCTATTTTTTTCTGTCCCTACAGGATGGAACGTACTGTTAGAATTTTCAGTGCATTTGGTACTTTTAAAATGATATAAGGCGATCTTGAATTTGTTGTGCGAGAAATTTCACTGGCGCAAAACTTGATTCCGGTACACACTTTTCTGGATCCAAAACCTCAAATAACGGTGATTGGATGGAATAATTTCAGTGACTCCAATGTCGGTGGTGACAATTTCTATTCCGGCAAAATTAAGAATCACTTAGGGTCGGAATTTTTTTAACACCTTTACAAACCGTGCGTTATCGTTAAGTCCACTTCCACTTTCCGCCAAACGCACGCATTTTTTTCTAAACTAACTTTTAATACAGCTGTCCATTTTATGCAAATAATGTATAATAAATTTACACAAAGAAACACCTGCAAATTATTTATTTATATGAGTATACGAATGATATCATCCCATCCCACTTCTTTCGCTATTTGAATCTCGCCCACAAGAAAAATCGAAAAGGGACCTATTTCTGAACGCAAATGATCTGGCCTGGCGTGCCCTAACAATTAATGGAAAAACCCGTATTTTCGTCACTTGTTCGGATGTAAACTGAACGGAATGAAAGTTTTAGGCCCCGAGACTCGTCTTCTCCAATACGTTTCTTGTTATCACCAGACATACTTCCGTTCACGTTCGCTATGAAGACCAAACCGAAGTGACCATCTGTAACCTCTTTCTCATAAACATAAAAAAAGGGTGGGCAAATCTAACTCGTGAAGGAAGTGCCCATTTCGACGAAATTGGGTAGTGGTTTTTCAACATGGTAATAACGAATTCAAAACTGGTTTTTGAAATTTTGAACAATCTTATGACATTAGGAAGGCTACGAATTGGAGGAGGTTGAGTCAAATTGTTGCACATGGACCAATGGCGCGTAATTGACAATGGGCCATATACTTAAAATGCGCATATTTGCCGCCAAAAATGAAGCTTCCATTTTTAATTGGCCATTATAAGCGCCGTTTTACCCCCTGTCGCTCTTCAAATCACAATTGACGCCCCCCAAGATGTAATCAACGGCGATTTCCAACAGATGACCTATTGCACAAGAATAGAGCTTTTATTTATACTTCGAGAAAAACACTATCAGATACTTAAAATTAGACTAAATTATCGACGTGTTGACATCTCTTTCGGAGCGATTGTAATTGGCGAAGAAGACTGTCGTGGAGGAAAAATAGAATTAAAAAAAGGATTTGTTTTAATACTGATAAAAGGTTATTACGTGAATGATAAACTCCATTATTTATGTCAATATGTTTACTGCGAAAGAAATTGTTTTTTTTTTGTATTGAAATGCGATTGTATTTTATGTAATTATTTGCAGGTCGAGAATTTCGGGGAGCTCATAGCGTGGAGGGCGCAAGAGAACTTCGAGATGATTTTGAAGACCGACTTGAACAACCTCACCAAATTTGTACATTGCTTTTTTGATCATAGTATCGATATCAATCACGAATTAAATCTTCTGCATATCGAGAGTAAGTATACCGTTGCGCGTTTCCCTGAAGATGGCGCACGTGAAATGTCCCCCAAAACGGTACTTCATCCTATTTGAGGGATTACTCGAGAAATTCTAAGAGAATAATGGAATTAGTGGGAAATTAATAGATTGCGCAACGTAGCGTCATATAAAACTGCTATCGCAGATCACCGTTACACCGCAAATCGTGAGATGGGGGGGGGGGGGAGTCGAGACAAGACATCTGTGGTGATGTCGATACGAATATGTTTAATTAATTTCTCGGTTTCCGGTCATCATAAAAATCCAGGACTAGTCTTAAAATTCATGCTAATTAAGCGCGCTTTATTTGACACTAGACACAATTTAATCAGCAACCTAGTCAAAGTAGAGGTCTAATATACCCCATCTGTCTAGATTTCTGCCGAACTCCCCTTCGGCTCGCTCGGAACATTGGAACACAAGCTTTCATATAGCGAAAATCCGAAGTCGATACGACGTTATTTTCCCAAGAAAATCGGTACATAAATAACGATTTTGACACTTTTTGGGAAACAATTTTGGCCACCAAAAATGCACATGTAGCATTTCTGGTCATCGAGTTTGATCTTTTTCCCAAGAAAGTGTCTGCATAAATAACGATTTTGACACGTTTTGCCCAAAAATACACACAAATCACCTCGCAAATCACTGTTTGGGCATTGAGCGATAGAGTTTGGTTTGTTTCCCAACAAAATTGGTGTATAAATATCCATTTTAACCGATTTTGGGCAACAATGTGATTAATGCCGAAGTTACTGTTTGATAGTTGCACATCTGGAACCCATATAGCCAAAAACCGAAGTCGATCCGAGCTGCTAATTACGCGCGCTTCATTTGACACTATACACAATATAATCAGACGAGGTTTACTGCAACACAATAACTCCGGTTAATTATACTCAACAAAATGGTGGCGCTGAAATATATAGCGATAATCCGAAGTCGATATGACGCTGTTTTCCCAAGAAAATCGGTACATAAATAACGATTTTGACACTTTTTGGGAAAACATTTTGGCCACCAAAAATACACATGTATCATTTTTTTATTATCGAGTTTAATCTTTTCCCCAAGAAAATTGATGCATAAATAACGATTTTGACACATTTTGGCCAAAAATCACTGTTTGGGCATTGAGCGATAGAGTTTGGTTTGTTTTCCCCACAAAATTGGTGCATAAATAACCATTTTAACCGATTTTGTGCAACAGTGTGATTAATGGCAAAGTTACTGTTTGATAGTTACACATCTGGAGCCCAGATAGCGAAAACTCGCAAGTCGATACGAGTTATTTTTCCTAAGAAAATCGGTAGATACATACGATTTTGACACCTTTTTGACCATCGAAAATACACATGGATTACTTGAGCAATTGAGTTCGATCTTTTTCCCAAGAAAATTTGTGCATAAATAACGATTTTGACATCGTTTCGCTAAAAATATTTTGCCCGCCATAGATACACATTGATGACTTCTTGGGCATCGAGCAATCAAGTTTGGTCTTTTTTGCAAGAAAATTGGTGCATAAATAGTGATTTTGGCATCTTGCTAAAAATATTTTGGTTATCAGACATGCCCATGGATCACTTCTTGGGCATCATGCAATAGAGTTTAGTATTTTTTCAAACAAAATTGATACATAAATAACGATTTTGACACGTTTTGGCCATGTTTCTGAAAATAAACGTGCACACTTTGGCATGCAACGACCAATTTGTCTCGGAGGCCTCTAGTGGTCCCAAGTTTGAAGAAGTGGGGGGGGGGGGAGTTTACGCACGTTCTACTTCATGGTGTTCCAATGAAATTTCTCATTGAAACAAACTACACCCGTCTTCCCATACTCATTTTCCATGGATGCAGAAGCTGCAGTTTCTCGTAACGAAGTGCCCCAAATAATCAGTTACATTAAGTGTTAAAAAATTAGGGAGATCTGGAAATAATCGCATAGTGTTTTTTAAAGGTTTATCTTTTTTAAATCTGGTCTTGCGATAAGAAGTTCGTCATTGCTGCGTAAAAACTAAACAAAACACCTGCTTGATTTGTTCGTTGTAAGTAATCATAGGTGTGAGTTTATTCGACGCCGCGCTACTGATTAAGAAGGGGCGAAAGGGATGGAAGGGAAGAGTTGCTAAAAATGTGAACGAGGCTTTTTTGGGTGTATGGCAGTCGGCCGTAATCGAGTTTTTTTGGGAAAGACAGTCAGTCTTGGTGGTTGTAAAGTTGTTATAGAAGAAATTTTAGATAGTGTTCTAAGAGGTCGTAAATTTGAGTGAGGTTGAAGCGTTGTGCACGTTTACGAAGTAGTTAGTGTTGTGGTTATCGAGCGTTAATCGCACAACCCAACACAGTTTGCTCAAATTTACTCCATCAGACCTTGACTCTATCTAGGTTTCTGCCGAACTCCCCTTCGGCTTGGTCGGCACATTTGGAACAGATAGGTTTTCATATAGCGAAAATCCGAAGTCGATACGACGTCGTTTTCCCAAGAAAATCGGTACATAAATAACGATTTTGACACATTTTGGGGAAAAAAATTAGCCACAAAAAATACGCATGTAGCATTTCTTGGTCATCGAGTTTGATCTTTTTCCCAAGAAAATTGGTGCATAAATAACGATTTTGACATTTTTTTGACTAAAAATATTCCTGACTTCTTGCCCCCCCCCCCCCCCCATGAATTATTTCTTCTTCTCGTGGTGCTATTTCTGAAAGTAAACGTGCACACTTTTGCATACAACGACCAATTTGCTCAGATTTTCCATACGGAGGCCTCCAGTGGGTTCAAAATTAGTTTCATCATACCCCAATAAAGGTCTTCAGCTGCGAATGGCAGGACAAGACATATTATCTGTGGTGAGGTGGTTACGAATATCTTTAATTAATTTCTCGGCTTCCGGTCATCATAAAAATCTAAGACTAGTCTTAAAATTCATGTTTATTAAGCGCGCTTTATTTGACACTAGACACAATCTAATCAGACGAGGTTTACTGCAACACAATCAATAACTACGGTTAATTATACTCGACTAAATGGATGAGCTGAAATTCCCATCTACAACTACCGCCTGCATACCTTCAGCTCGTTCGGCATTAAAATAGGCCTGTTATTTAAACTGCTGTGCCAGCAGAAAGCGAGTTCGGCACAAACCTGGGCAAAGTATCACCTAGACCTTTATTCTGTCTACGCTGAGGTCTGTGGGATGCTACACGGGAACGGTTACAAACGGCAAATTATTTACAGCATATGGAAAATACGACGCTAAGAATCAAAGCAATTACTTTTACCTTCCCCTAGTAAAGAAGTACATAGGTCCGGAAGCTACACAGTTTCTCGTAACGAAGTGTCCCCAAATTTATGTCACGTTTCGATACCGTGCTTTCATGTACCGGGTGATCCTTAAATCTGGTAGATCTCGCAGCGGAAAATGAGTGCTTCGTTGCAGTTTTCTCCATTTGGCGGGATTCTCAATCGGTCGCGCCATTTTAAAGACATACAGCCAAGTGTAAACGCGCCTCGTGTAATCACGAATTTGGTAGTGACTACATGGTTCGTAAAACGCAATGTGTATTACCATTCGAAGGGTCACGAAGTACTACATACCTCAAAAGAGTAATGTTATCTAAACTACGTCATGCGGACGTTTTTATTGGTACGTATAATATTGATCGGTCGCCCTGTATGAGTTGAATGCCAATTTTTTTTAAGGGTAAATGTGGTCGCCAATTTAGATTGAACACAATTTCGATCATATCATTTGAATTTGAGGTCAATGTTGTTGTGTATCAGAATTATTAGATGCTTAATTTTGTATTAATAATCAGTTACATTAAGTGTTAAAAAATTAGGGACATCTGGAAATAATCGCATAGTGTTTTTTAAAAGTTTATCTTTTTTAAATCCGGTCTTGCGATAAGAAGGTCGTCATCGCTGCGTAAAAGTTAATTATCACACCTGTGACGGTTTTTTGTTCGCTGTCAGTAATCACAGGTGTGAGTTTATTCGATTGAGAAGGAGCGAAAGGGATGGAAAGGAAGAGTTGTTAAAAATGTGAACGGGGCTTTTTGGGTGGATGGTTTTGGGTGTATGGCAGTCAGCCGTAATCGAGTTTTTTTGGGAAAGACAGTCAGTCTTGGTGGTTGTAAAGTTGTTATAGAAGAAATTTTAGATAGTGATCGTAAATTTGAGTTGAAGCGTTGTGCACGTTACTTTGTGTTTATCGAGCGTTAATCGCACAACCCAGCACATTACTGCTCAAGTGTATCATTGACTTAGAGTATTGGATAAGCGTCTTTTTTTATGATGACGAAAAACACAACGCCTAGTATACTGGTTTATATTTTCAGCTATAGATATCGAAGGTAATCCATCCAGAATAAAGTATAATCTACGATACCCCTTGGAATATAGAATAAAGTACTCTCTAGCTCCAGTTCATTGGAGGAAGTTTACGAACGATTTAAAATCGTTATACTTAAAACTATCGGATAATCTATGCAATAAGTATGACAACCCTTTGCGACGTTAATTACTTTAAGCGTGTTTAAGATTGGAACATCCGACGATAACGATCGAATCGACGCCGAAAACGGTGCCGGTTTCCGAGGTGAAGCCCATAAAGAAATCCCTGGAGGCGACGAAACACCATCACAAGACGGTACGGAAGGAGAGCAAAAATAAACTCGAGGTGAGCACGATCGACTCGCGAAGGCCTAAATCGAACGAGCGCAAAGCGAAATTGGAGAAGACGAAGCACAAAACCGCGTCCGTTAAGCGCAACGAGGAGACCGAGCCGCCCCCCGCTGTTAGAAAGCAGAAACCGCCGAAGTTAGCCAAATGTGCCAACAGTCTCATTTCTTCCAAAACGCCTGTGACCGAAACTAACGGCGTTACGATCAACTCGAAACCGCCGAACGTTTTAGTTTACGCCGATAGTGTAGTTGCTAGGGATAACGTTAAGAACGTTCTTCACACAATCTTAAATAATCACAAGTATGATGGCGTTGTGTTCGCGGCCGCAACCTCACTTTTATTTTTTCAGGTACATGGTGTACGATTTTCCAGTCAGTGGTAGTCAACAGTTGTGGCTGAATTCGACATCCCTGATCGTGGTGTGCGGAAACGTCGCTCCGGAGATTAGTACTCAGTTTTTGGAGTATTTAGTGAGCGGCGGAAAGTTGCTGTGTTTATGCAGCGATCTGCTTTACAGTGTTCTTCACATATTTTCAACTGCCGAGGTAACTAAATTCGATCAAAAGCGCATGTATAACCTGCAAGTATTCATGTAAGAGTCGATTATCTCACGTCCAGATCCCATATACTGAACCGAAGGTAGTTAATTTGAGAACCCCCTTCTCGTATTGCTAAGACACAAGAGCCGCAGTCCGCACGAAATGATATAGCGAAGGAGCATGAAGTTCTTTCTCCACTGTTAATGGGCACATACAGGGCAATATCGCACTGATTATATACTTTCACTTGAATTTGTAAATAAAATAAAGGTGTAACTCAAAACAAAAGCTTGGAGCACGCCATTGTGCAACAAACAAATATCTTAGCAGTAGGCGTAGTCAATATCTATCTCTTTTAGGTACGCGAACACGAACTGGTCAGATTTTCCTACGAGAACTGGAAGCGCGTGAAGATGATGCACCACGTTTTCTGCTATCAAGCGTCGCCCGCTAAACGCCAGTTCTCCAAAGACTCGGATCAGTCGAACAGGTAAACGCGTGACGTGAAATAAACAATTGGCGACATTCTTTGTCGTTTAGTTCGCGAGGTTCCAGTCCCGTGGCGCCGAGGATGCCGTCGGCGGTCGAAATTCAGCACGGCGGAAAGAAGTACGTGGTGCAGGTGCAGGTGCTCGGCGCCGAGGAGACGTGGCATACCCCCAGCTTATTGCTGGCAGCTGTAAAAGACACCAAGGGGGTTGCCATTTTTTCTCAGGTACAGTCTGGTCCGAATCTCATCGAGCTACACAACCAATTTTAGGTCCACCTAGAGATTGATCCGACTCAGTACCAGGACGATGAGAGCAAATTCTCGGCACTAAACGACAGCAATACGGCTCGATTAGAAATACTGAGGCACCTACTCTCGCAGCATTTATCGTTAGATTGCAACTCGATCGTCGACATTGGCTACTCGCCCGCGTACTTTCTAGGAATCCACGATGTAAGCGCATGCGCAACTGTTAGCTTTCTTTGATCGTGCTCTTAAGGTCAAGCAAGAACTGCTGACGCAGTGTGACGCAATTAAAGATGGCCGGTTGGTGAACGATAAAATTACCGTTCATTTTCTGGGAAAGGAAATGGAACCGGAACCTGCAACTGCGACGTATTTACCGGTTTTAATTCACGCCTGTCCGTCGAATTTTTCGACCGTGCAATATTTCGAGGTAAATCACAATGCATTTTTTCTAAATTTTACTCTCCCTACAGGCACTGAAAACCACTGAAGTAGGTAGACTAGTTATTTACGCGGAAGTACTCACAAGTTCCCAATTATTGCTTGCCAGAAAACTTAGGCACGGTTTTACTGTGATAGTAAAACAGCAGACACAGGGAGTGGGTAATGATGACGTCGCGAGGCGATTGCGTATAAACCGACTGCCTTCACAGGTCGCTCCAACAACCAGTGGCTCTGTCCCGTGGGTTGCGCGATGTTTTCTTTACAATTGCACGTGCCGATGCAGTCGACCTTGGGGCGTTCGCTACCTTTAGTACAGCATTTGGTGATGGTGGCCATCGTCGCAGCAATCAAGCGGAAGGCGGGTTATGAGGTGAGCTTCTTTAAGAGGTTACTCCTGAGCCAACTTGATTTACTTTCTACAAGACCAAAAGACACTTCTCCAATCGCAGTAGAAGTACATAGAAGCCATTGTTTTCCAAAACTCCTGTCCAAAACACTGCTGCTGTATGAATATCCATTTTGATAAGAGTCTCATCAAAATGTGCGCTTTGAAAAACAAAGTGTTTCAAACCCCAAAAATCCAATATTTTCCTATAGCGTTAATGCAACAGGCGATCTTGATTGAGATGATCGATTTCGGGGGCGAGGTCCAAGGTCACTGTCCTGTGTTATTGATTCATCTTCGATTTTGGAGGGCGTGCTCTAAGGTTGAAGTTCTGTGTTAATTGATTATCAATTTTGGGGTACCTTTTGGAACCAATCAGGTTGAAAGTGCTTTAATGGCGGACTCGTTAAACGTTTTTCAAAACGCACATTTTGATGAAACTGTAATCAAGTCTGACTTACATACTTTGAGAGCAGTGTTTTTGGCGAGCTAAAAACTGTCCAAAATAATGGTTTCTTAGGACTTAAATCTATTGCATTAAACACCTTGTATTAGTTTAAATGACACTCGCTGTAGTGAAACCGACAATAATGGCGTCTTTATGTACGTTTGACCGTTCAGAACGCCAAGATCCAAGCCCCAGCAACAATAAAGTTAGCTAACCTTGGAATTTGGAACGATCTCCAAATTAGTTCTCCAATGGTTTACCAAGGTAACGGGTATTTTTTTTTCGAGTTTGTATGTTCAGCATAGGAAAATGTACCGCTTCATCGCGAACATGAGCAGAGGTATGTCTGGAGCTAACAAGATATGCATTGCGGGAAGCGAGCGCGGTTGTCACGATCTCTTTTTATACAGAATTTTTCCTAAATTCACAAAAAATAGGCACTTAAAAAAGTCACTCGTAGGACATCGATTTAGGCCTGAAATGGCCGAACGACCTGTACGCGAACCGCAACATCAAAATAGGCGGCCTTATGATCAGCACCAGCGTCTTCTCCGACGTTGCCGTAGTGAACATCGGTAAGAATCTCCGAACCGTTCACGTTTAACCCCTAACGTTTCGAAGGGTGCGGAATCAACCTCGATAATCTCCTACCTACGACGTGCGTCAACGAACTGATTAGGCTTTCGAACGTCGAGAAAAAAACCGAATTACCACCTATAGCGTACGAGGAGTTCTTCGCGATCATTTTCAACGAAATTGAGAGCGTCTACAATTTGGTGCAGGGCGGCGATTTAGATCTGCTGTTCGAATTATATTACAAATACTGGCTGCATAGGTACGAGACTCCATTTGCGGGGAACTTTAACGAACGTCTGATTTGCAGTGGGTCGGAAGTGATGGTGACCGACAAAGATGGCGTCGCGTCAATGGCTAGCGTAATCGGAATAGACGAGTTTGGATTTCTGAAGGTTCGACTGAAAGATGGCAGTTTGACAAGCGTGCAGCCCGACGGAAATTCGTTCGATATACTGAAAGGGTTGATCGTTCCCAAACGTTTTTAGAAATATTCACTGGTGTCCAACTGACGGAGCACCGTTCAATTGATGTCTGCTAAGTGTCAGTGCCATTTTATCCTTAATAGTCGGCAATGATCCACTGTTTATGGTGCGGTCTTGCTTTAATCGGTGTTTGTGAGGATGCACATTCCATTTTATCAAATTCTATGTGTCGTTGAGTTTTAATATTTTATGTTGTTTGTTGAGAATTAAAAATGATAGTTTTAGAGAGTCCATTATTACAAATACATACACGACACCCTTAATACAAGCGAGCTCTCCCAAAATGTACTTAAAACTTTACGCATTACTCAAAACCAGCCCTTAGTTAATCTCGAATCTTAACTTTACGCTTCTCGCAATTTATTAGTTCTAATTGAGTTTATGTACTGGAATGGAAACGTCCAAAATTACACTGATTGACTTTCGACGCTTAAGGTGGTTTATACGTTTTCTTGTAACTTTTAAATTGTGGGCGGTCCGTTCTGTTGCCGGCGTGGGGAGTCATCCTACCTCTTCGCATTTTATAAATCGATCGAGATCCTTGGCGACGAAATATCGTAGAACCTTCGGATTTTCCGCGTGAGATTCGCACTATCGTGTTTATTCCTGGATCGCTTAGTCTGAAAGGTGAAAGCCATTCCCATTCAAGTCAATAATTTATGAATGTAGGATGAAAATACGTTTTATCACAGATCTACACATACACAGATTGCTAACCTTATGCATTTTTTGGGAAACAAATTTAGGTATACTTAAAAGCGCCCTCTATTGCGGAGCAGTATAAACATGTACCGTTTAAAACTGTAATATGACGCTTATGGATTTATGCATTAGATGTCGCTGCAAAAAAATTGAAGCGGTAAAGTGTGCATAATTCGAATTCGTTACTCGTTATTTTTAGCATTTGATATTTGTAATCGGTGAATTTATTTTGTGATTTGTTTCGGACTAGTTGTTTCAGTTTGTTATTGTTTAATTAATTTTGTTTCAACGACATCTAACGCATAAATCCATAAGCGTCATATTATAGTTTTAAACGTTACATGTTTATACTGCTCCGCCATAGAGGGCGCTTTTAAGTATACCTAAATTTGTTTCCCAAAAAATGCATAAGGTTAGCAATCTGTGTATGTGTAGATCTGTGGTTTTATAAATCGACCGAGATCTCGATCCCTGATGGGCCACTAAACTTCAAGTTTTCGCTAATTGATAGCTGCGGCTATGGTCTATACAGGGTGATTATTAAACATGCGGCAAAAATTTAAAGAGCTTTGTTGAATCTAGTGAAAGTCCGAACTCGATACATGACCTAGCGAACGAAATATGTTGATTTCTATTATATTAAGCCTCGGTTGAGCGCACAGTTTTTCCTGTTCCCGATTCACTCGAAGTCCTATAACTTTTGTTCCGGTTGAGCCTGCTTTCTGAAAATCATTAGCGTCTTTCCACTTAATGTCCAAAGTAGGTACCTGTACGCCAATTTCAATACGATCGGCCACTTTCAAAGGAGTTATAGCGCACGCAGACGGACGGACGGACAAGTACGAGAATAAGAATCTGAGGATTGATTCTTAATAATTTAGTGACAGTGCTATGTTGTAAAAGGGCGAAGTCAATCTTTAGTGGCTAACTTTTAGGAGATAGTAGTTCATATCCATTCGATAAAGTTGTCACTTACCTCTTACAACGAGCTTTATAGCTTTTTTTTCCGATATGAACTTTCATCTTTTCTAGAAGTGCGCCCCATTTTCATACAAGTTACAATGTAATTACAACAAACAATCCCCGAGTATTAGAATGATGCGGTTCGCAAACTTTTATCCGCAGATTGCATTAATAGGTGTTTGTCTATCGCTGTTACTAAATGATATAGACAAATCATACTAGATTACTACTGCTTATCTACTATATTTATTCTTATTTTGCTTTTTTACACTAATTTAAGCAAAACTACCTATTGTATTATGTGAATTGTGAACAAAACATTGATTTTTTGGGGTCTCTCCCGTAATATTGAATGAATAAATAAACCTGATGTTAGTTTTGTTTTTATTTAAAGTGTATATGTATAAAATTTCATTTAATTGCTTCCATAAGTAAGAAAGTTGGCACTGCACATCCTACACAAAACCAAATTTTGAAAATGGCGATTCATTTGCTTTTATTCCAAGTGGCTATGTATCAAATTTCATTTGAATGCTTCCATAAATAAGAAAGTTGGCACTGCGCATGCGCAAAACCAGATGTTGAAACTGGCGTTAGATTTGCTTTTATTCCAAGTGGTATTATGTATCAAATTTCATTAAATCCCTTTATAAAGCACTGCGCAGGCTCAAAACGAAATTTTGAAACTGGCGTTAAATGTGGATTTATTCCAAGTGGCTATGTATCAAATTTTATTTAAGTGCCTCCATAAATAAGAAATTTGGCACTGCGCACGCGCAAAACCATATTTTGAAGCTGGGGTTAAATTTGCTTGTATTCCAAGTAGCTATGTATCAAATTTCATTTAAATCCCTCCATAAATAAGAAAGTTGGCACTGCTCATGCGCAAAATCAAATTTTGAAACTAGCATTATATTTGCTTTTATTCCAAGTGGTTATGTTTCAAATTTCATTTAAATTTAAATTTAAAAAGTTTGCAATTCGGTTTATAAATGGTCGAGATGCAAGAAGGGCACTGTGAATGCTGATCGATTAGGCTCAATTTTTGGAATTTCGTTTTATATGGCTAAAGTTATACGCATATTGAATTTCATGCAATTCGGTTCATAACTCACACAGATGTCAAAAGGGCCTTCCTTATTTTTTGGGCCACATTGCCAATTCACGAACTCAGATCTACAAATTTGATAAAGAATCCATCTACTAAATTTGATCGTAATCGCTCCATTCGTTACCGAGATATCGTGCTAACGGACGGACAGACGGGCAGACACCGCAAAATTATAAACTCGCTAGGAGCTCGTTAATAAACGAATAAACTAAACAAATATAGAAAATGAGCTCCTGGGTATGGCTATAACATGTGCAAAACCAAATTTTAAACCTGATGTTAATTTTGCTTTTATTTAAAGTGTATATGTATGACATTTCATTTAATTGCTTCCATAAATAAGAAAGTGGGCACTGCACATCCTGCACAAAACCAAATTTGGAAAATGGCGCTACACTCGGCGTTACATTTGCTTGTATTCCAAGTAGCTATGTATCAAATTTCATTTAAACCCCTCCATAAATAAGAAAGTTGGCACTGCGCATGCGCAAAATCAGATTTTGAAACTAGCGTTATATTTGCTTTTATTCCAAGTGGCTATGTATCAAATTTCATTTAAATACTGTCATAAATAAAAAAATTTGCAATTCGGTTTATATATGGTCGAGATGCGAAAAGGGCACTCTGACTGTTGATCCATTAGGCTCAATTTTTGTAATTGCGTTTTATATGGCTAAAGCTATACGCATATTGAATTTCATGCAATTCGGTTCATAACTCACGGAGATGTCAAAAGGGCCTTCCTTATTTTTTGGGCTACATTGCCAACTCACGAACTCCGATATGCAAATTTGATAAAAAAATCCACCTGCAAAATTTCATCGTAATCGGTCCATTCGTTTATGAGTTATCGTGCTAACAGACACCGCAAAATTATAACCTCGCTAGGAGCTCGTTAATAAATACCTATCTTTCGGTCCTCGGTTTTCGTTTGCTATTGGCCGAACTCACTTACGTGCACCTCCCTCTAGTTTACAAGTCACAGGAATAGACACACCCAATATCGTCAAAATCCATACAGTTTTTACAATATTTTGGATTTATTTTTTAAAATATTTTGAAATGAAAAGACGCAATGAATAGCAAATAAAAAACTGTATCGAGTTACGTGGAATTTTTTTCTTAATGAGTAATTTTTTTATGTCGCTCTCTTTCTATAATTTTTTATGCGAACTACGTCAAACACATGTTCAAAATCATGACGTAACTTGAGACATATAGTCATTAAGGACCTATCCCAAAAGACAGAATCCATTTTTAATAAAAATTAGAGCTATAAAACTGTAAAAACTTTTGCGTCGCCTTGATAAAGTACCCTTAACAAAAGCACGAATTAATTGTCTTTAACCTTTTTATCGGTTGCCGTTTTATTTATATATTATTAGCACATATAAACTAATTAGGTGCGCAACTGTTTTTTTAACGTAACTTGCCACTCCAAATATAGCACAACGAAATGTTTTGCACCTTGGACCCAAACGCTTTCGTCGTAACAATTTATTTAAGCGCGAGCGCAATCCCGTTATGCACCTTAACGAAAAAGTTCGCTCACGTATCAATACGGTAACGCTTCGCAATATTTCCGGCTCACGAAGAAGTTCTGTTTATATTGGTTAAATCGTAATGGCCAGTCATAACGAATCTGGCAATAAATTTTGTCGAACATGCGGCACAGTTTTCACTTGAAATGTACACAACTCGCATGATTTGCTTTGAAAGCTTGGCGAAAAAGTTCGCGAAGCCCCATTCACATAGGTGGTAGTGCAGTGCTGTTGCGATGCGGTGCCTTTGTATAAAAGTTTGAAATACGCATATCCATATGACAATTCACAATGACATGTGCAGTGCAGACGAATTGCAGCCGCGTGCCGAAAGTATGTAAACTTCAAACTTTCTGCACTACCGTTAGCAAGCACCAATAGAAGTGCAACATATTTGTTGCTGTTGTCGTTGATTGGTCATACTTGTGTAGGCGTGCCAATTTTGCGGTGATTGTGAAAGCAAATGTCAACTTGACAGCACCGATTCGCACCGCACAACAAGGCAACGGCACCGCACTACCACCTATGTGAATGTGGCTTAGGCGATCTATAAATTTTCGCATTTACGTTAAGGCTTGGAGGTCCGTCTACGAATGCCGCCAAATTTTTCAGTCTATCTATATAATAAACGAAGGGCAAGTTACCTATCACGGGGGCGAGATTCTGCTAACAAAAACTCTTCGGTTTAGAATCTATGTGCGATATAGTTACGATTTTACGGATTTCGAGATATTTTGTTGGTAGTTTGATTTGACTAGCAAGGCCGTGTAATTTTCCATGTTGATTTTAACAAAATGATTTTATTGCACCAAAGATTGTACAGCTACTTTGTTTTTCATCAGCTTTTAACCCAACAAAACAGGACGCAGCAGAAATCTTAGCTTTTATTACAAAATAAACAAAAACAATTGCCTACTCCGCTTCTTTTGCCAGTTGCATTTCCAATGTGCAATTTATGGCGCTTCTTACAATTCTCGGAGAACCTGGTGGCCTATCTTCCTCATCGTCTCTGCCTTCTCTTTGCATGGGATCTTCTGGACATTCGCAGCCGGGCTTTTTCCCCAACTCTTCGTCACAGTCGACCGCTTCGTCATCGACGAGTCCTTCGTAATTCTCACGATTGTCATTGCACTCGTTGTAACTGCGAATGAACGTCTCCATCAGATCCTGATACTCCCTGTTGTATTTCTCCGTAAACGCTTTCACGTCCTCGGAAAATCGGAGCATGTCCATTCTCATGTCCGACAGCGAATTCACCATGATGAGGGTGTTCTCGATGCTATCCTCCTCGGTGCCCTTCCTTCGCTCGATCAGCTTCGCCATTTGCTCGCGATCGTGCTCGCGACTGTCGCCGAAGACCGACACGCTCGGCGTCATCTGCAGCATGTTCGTCACCATCGGCTCCTTACGCTCGACGTCGGGAATCCTCGCGTCGCACTCCCGAATGTAATCGTTGTAAGTCGACTTCTCACGCCTATCGATCATCTGGTACGTTAGGCACTCGTCGTCTTTGATCTCGTCCGCGCTCTGAGGTTTCTGGTAGGGTAGCGGTACGACGGTGTTGTCCAGCCGCGTGTTGATCTGCCAGGTGAGCAGCTCTCTGACGTCGTTCAGGTCGCAGTCGTCGTCGCCGATCTTGATCGTGCGCCGTTCGGGTTTGGGCCGCGTGTAAATTTCGCACGTGACCTCCGACGTTTCGACACCTTCAACCTTGTCCAGATCCTTGTCGAGTGACTTGTAAAACGGCCTCTCTTCGTCTTCACTGTCGCTTTCAGAGTCGGAGGACGTAAAATCTTCGCGCTTCATCTGCGTGCGTTCGATTATTTCGTTTAGAGCATCTCGAAATGAAACGCACGTCTCCGGTTCTGTTTGCACCGCCGAAGAAATGGAAATTCCGGAATCTTTCTCGATGGGTGAAAGTATTTCTGTGCTGGTGCACTCATCGATTGCCATTTGGGTAGTGAATTCCGAAACCGCCACAGTTTCTAAAGCTGATAACTCTTCCAAAGAGTCCTCTTGTAACAGTTCTTCATCATTTTCAAGATTAGGGATATTGGAAACAATTTCCTCAATAATCTTCGAGATATCAGCGTTCTCTAATTCTTTACGTTTCCAATCTTCTTCAGTTACAATCCGCGGCGAGAGTTGCCTATCATCTTGGATTGGATTACAGAGTGATTCTTCAGAAGAAACTGTGTCAATTGACATTAAAATGAGAGATGCCTCCTCCAAACTTGATGGAACGTTAGGAACGGACGGTTCTTTATTATCTTCAGTGGGCTTGTGAGGTGACTGAGAGGATTCTGGATCACTGATATCTTCAATCGGGTTATCTTTTTCTTCCTCTTGATTTGGTTCGAGGAGGATTGTACATAATTGCTTTGTATCTTCAAATGGAGCTTTTTGATTGGATCCGAAACCAGCCTTTAGTATTTGTGAACCATTTGTTAGATCTTCTTCTTCTAACATTTGTGGATGGTTCTCGATTGAAGATGAATCGCGGACGTAATCTTCATTCTCGTCAACTATTCCTTCAAGTGGACCAGCCCAATTCCAATCAGGGTGTACGAATTCTGGCCTTGAATTACGTTCTACTCTTTCCTCACCTGGCTGTTCTTCTTCAAGGTTTTGTATTGAAGATGAGTCACAGATGTAATCTTCATGGTCTTCAGTTGGCTGCTGACCATCGTTACTGACAAGATGAGCGCAATATTCCCCTGGATTACATTCTGCTTCCGACTTGGATATTTGTGGAAGGTCCCAGATGTCGCCATTATCGCCAAATGGTTCATCCTGGCCGTGTGCTTCGTTGTCATCAGGCTGGACGAACTGTGACCGAGTACCTTCAACTGAATGTTCCGACTCGGAAAAGTATTCTGAGTGAATTGAAGAATTTTGGGAGGCATATGTGGTGGGAGAAGAATATTCTTCAGGATCTTCAGTAGAGACACTTTGACAAAGCTGTGTACCGGAAGCATCTACTGAAGTTCCAGGTAAAACGACTTCTGTGAGCTGGGGGACGTTTTCATTTTCTCCCTCCATCGCTTCCTTCACGCAATTTTCCGGTGCGTGAAATAGGTCATTCGAATCCCCAGTGGGCGCGGGAGAATCCGTAATTTCCTCCACGAGCACTTTCCGTTGGCCCCGCCATCTCTTCGCCTTGGGTTCAAAGTCAAAGATGTTTTCTCGATATTCCAAGGGATCCTCGTCGGGCCGACGATTGTCCATGAACTCGTCCTCGTCTCGACCCGCTCCCAATTGCTCGTCAAGCTCCTCGCAGGCCTTAGCATAGTCGTAAACCATCTCATCTCCCTCCTCACTCGTATCGTCCGCCGCGTTCTCGGATTCGGCCGGCGGATTCTCGTGAACGCTCGCCGGTTCGCTTCCCGAATCGTAAACGGAGGCGCCCATCCCGCTGTCCTGCTGCTGAAGGGCGCGCTCGGCTCGGCGCTCGTCTCGCATTCGAATCAGCGCTGGAAGGTCAAACTTACAGTCCCAAACCGTCAAAAATCTCGCTCACCATCAACGCTGTCCATAATCCGCTGATGCTCCCGGTCTATCCAGCGTTGCCGCTCCGCCTGCTCCTCGGCGACCCCGCCGCGCTTCCTGCAAACGCAACGGAATTACCCCCCGCTTAACTTCGCCCAAACTTACCACGCCTCCGCACATGCGCGATCCCTCGGGAACACCGGACGATCGTCCAGATACCGCAGCTCGAGCTAGAACGTGATTGGTTACACAGCAACCCAATGGCGGACTTACACATGACAGGATTAGCGTCTTCCGATACGCCGGTATCTTGCGAACGACCGGATTTCCGTTCAGGCACAGCACGCGCAAGCTTCCCATTCGCGCGAATATTTCGACAATCAAAGGGTCCTCGATGTGATTATTCGACAGGTCCAAAACGGACACTTCCTGCAAAAGCTCCAGGTGCTCCAGCTCCTCGATGGTTTCGATGTAGTTGTTGCCCAAGTTGAGCGTCTGAAGTTTCGTGTTGTTAGCTGCGAATTCCAAACTAAGTCGCGTGATTTTCTAACACTCGCACCTACCCAAATTTTCGATTTTCCTCACTTGGTTGTGCGAGAGATTTATCGAATTCAAATTCGGGCAGTTTTCCAATTTTTCGATTTTCTTAATCAAGTTGTAGTGAAGAAAGAGGCTACGTAGGTCGGTCTGGTTGTCCAGCCCGCTGATCTTGTTGATGCCGTTATTTTCGAGCCACAAGCATCTTAGGCCAGTATACTCCTCCAGGTTTTCGATGCGGGAAAACCCCTTATAATGCAAGTATAGGACGTCGTTCAAATGGGGCGTCTGGTAAAGTTTGTGTTCTTTGCAGTGCTTCCGTATGAACTCCTTTGTCATTCTGAAATTCTTAAATGCAGAACATCGAGGGCTGGCTCACTTACCTGGGGCCCTTAAAAAGTTTGTCCAAAACACTTTCGGTGCCCTCCAAATTGGCAATTGCATTTTCTGTAGCCACAGCCATATTTAAAATGTGACAGTGACGTGAATATTGATCAAACAATTCGTTTTAAATATCGATTGTAGCCCGTAGCAACGGTATTTGTTTTTATACTACTTGGTTTTTAAATAAATATCTTAGACCATATAGTACTGGTCTAAGATATATGGTCAATGAAGCAGATGGCGCTTTAGGAAACTCCTAAGTAAAGTCACTAAATATGGAAAGTACCGCAATCCATTGGGCTCGTGTGTTAGAGAGAGAACGCATGATTTTTGCCCAAAAATGGCGGAAGTTACCAGATTCTAGTAACTTTAATGTCAGGGATAGTTCCACCTGTTTGGAGATATCTGTATATATTTTTATAAAACATGACAGTACTATGAAGTTAGGTTATAAAAAATTACAGCTATTTAAATTTTATTTGTCAATTTTTTTAAGTTGGCAGCAAATTTGCCAAAAAATGGCGGATTTCTATATTTAGTGACTTTACTCCTACGGTTAGGCAACATTCCTGCACCTACATCTGAAAGAATGGTAATATGAGAACAAAAATACGAAACGCTCTGTGTACACCAATCGTTCCGTTTCAGAGAGCCCTCGCATTTTACATTGAATGCTGATATTAGTTTATTGAAGCATGGCGTCCTTCCAGCTTTTGTTTTGTACCGTTACCTGAGACACCTTTGTTTATTAATGTACAGGTGGTTGTTTTATAGTATTTATTTATGTATACACATAGAAAGTGTGCCGTGGCCCTGTATGAGCTGACTAACTGTCTATACCGTGGAGGGAGTAGCTCATACAGTTCTGTCGCCATTGTATTTCTTGTGTCTCTTGTATCTTGTTTCTAACTACTACTATCGAATGACAAACACTAACTGTCAATTGACAACGGGTAAAAGATAGAACGAAAAGGGAAACAAAGAAAGAGAGAAAGAAATAGTGAACTCTCTTCCCCGTGCACACTTTCCCTGTACTCTCTCTTCTCCTTGACCCCCCCCCCCCCCCCCGATTATCTTCCCCATACACCCTCTTCTCTGCTGCAAGAAAGAAAGAAGGAAACCCGGCACTCTCGCAAGAAAAGAAGAAAGCAACAAAGAAAGATTCAATATTTAAAAAACCTATGAAATCTAGCATGCCGTGTGCTGTAGGGATGCGCGGTGTTTGTTGTGTTAACACGAGATATGGCACACGGCATGCTAGAATTCATAAGTTTTCTAAGTATTGAGTTTCCTATGACACGGACAACGCATAAAATTGGACCGGTTGGTGGAAGAACTCGTCAAACAACAGGCTGTATTAATTGCGGAAAAACGTGGTCGAAGCAAGAACCCACTTTGGACTTAGACGTAAAGAAATTTTGAAGGAGGAATGAATGAGGTATGTGTAAAAAGGGCGTAATAAAAGAGAGATGTGGAGGGGGGGGGGGTGAATGAAAAACTAACGAGGAGTGGCCCCCCCCCCCGTACCCTCTACCACTTCCGCCGTCTACTCCGTGAACTCTTTCCCGGGAACCCTCTTCTGTGTGCAATTTCTTCGCCGTACAGTCTCTTTCCCCTGCACTTTCTTGCCCCTCACTCTGTTCCACCTGCACTTTATCCTCCTGCATTCTCCACCCCTACACTCTCTTCCACGTGCACTCTACCTCGCGCACTCTTTTCCCTGAAGAAAGAGAGAAAGAAGCAGTGGACTCTTCCCTGTGATACTATCTTCCCCGTATATTCTCTTCTCCCCCCGCGCACTTCTCCCTGCACTCTCTTTCCCCTGCAATCCCTTCCCACTGCAGTATCTTGCCCCTCACTCTGTTCCACCTGCACTCTCTTCCTCGCGCACTCTTTTGCCCGTGCATTTTCTTCTTCCTGAAAGAAAGAAAAAAGAAACCAAGAAAGAGAGAAAGCAGCAATGGACCCGACCCCGTATACTCTCTTGCACGTGCACTCTCTTTCCCGTGAACTAGCTTCCCCCGCACTTCTTTGTCCCTGCGCTCTCTTACCCCTGAAATCTCTTCCCCTGCCCTCTCTTCGCCATGCACTTTCTTCCTCGTGCACTTTCTTCCGCGTGCACGCTCTTTCCCGTGTACCATATTCCCTCTGCACTCTCTTACCCCCACACCATCTTCCCCATACACTCTCTTTCCCCGCACTCTCTTGCTCGTGCATTTTCTTTTTCCTGAAATAAAGAAACACAGAAAGAAGAAACCAAGAAAGAGAGAAAGAAGCAGTGGACTCTTCTCCGTATACTCTCTTGTACTGTCCCATGCACCATCTTCCCGCTGCCCTCTCTTCTCTCCGCGCTCTCTTTTCCCTGAACTTTCTTGCCCCTGCAATCTCTTACCCCTCACTCTGTTCCACCTGCACTCTATTCCCCTGCACTCTATCTACCCCGTGCACTCTCTTTCCCGTGTACCATCTTCCCTTTGCACTCTTTTCCCCCCACACTCTCTTTCCCCCTAATTTTCCT